AAAACGAGATTTGATTAAGGAAATATAAATATATATTTATATTTATATACAAATGTATATATATATATATGTGTGTTTGTGTGTGTGTCTAAACAAGTCAGGATTCGTGCGGGCACTTCAAAATCGCAGCATTCGAAGCAATTATGGCACATGAAATAATTTATTTAACTCTATTCTATGCAAAAAGATTAATACAAATTCTAAAATATTACAATTCTTTAATCCTCCTCTAATGTAATATAACAACTCGACATAATCAAAAGGGATTAAATACCAAAGGTGTATTATATGCAGAGCATTATCACCTATTGTCTGAGCGAGTGCGATGGTTCCATGGTCCATTGAATGTTGCAGTAAAGATGCCATTTTTGACGGTGAAAACATGACTTGTTCATTCTCATCCGAGGTGGCCTGAAAACGGAGTCGAGTAGAAGCCACTTTACCTTTTCTCTTATTGCAACTGCCTCTTTTAAAAGCTTTTCCCTAGCGTTGATTTTGACATTTCAACCTATCTGCCAATTTTGTATCTCTACCACTTTTGTGTCCTTTTAGTACATCGAGTTTTCTTATCATGTAATCAACAATCGCTCCTTTTTTCACCTCCGATGTTAACTTTAGCACTCTTCTCCTTGGGAATATTTACTAAGACGGTGCTATATTATGTTTGATATCCTTTACTGTACATATGAAACTGGATGGTGTGAGAAGCTTGAAGAAATGCGTCTGCTTCTCCTCCCCATAATCTTGAAGACTACCAACTGAATTTTTCCTTGTATTGCATGCAGCTTGGCATTCGTTAATACCAATAAGCTGATAATCAGGAATGCCCATTTTACTTATTCTCATAGTTCATGAGAGTGATGCGCTATTTCATAAAGTGGTTTACCGCCATGACAATATCTGGTAAAGAGGAAGAGACGGTATCTTAGGTCGGATAAATCGGGATCTCATGCCTGTGAACTAAGAACATCTTTGCACAATCTCGGAGTCTTCGGTTCACGCCAGCCAAGCCTTCTTCGCTTTCCGGTGATACCAATTCACGAGTTCCTTCTAGTCCATCTTTTGAAGTTTCAAAGCCCACTTTAAATGAATAAATTAGAAATAAACTATTTAGTCAATCTGGATCATCAAGCCAGCCATGGCAATCCAGTTTTTTATTCTTGTATAATTGCTGGGTTAATTACTATTTATTTTGACCCTCGAGATTGGGGGAATTTCGAGTGCCACTTCCTTTCAGCTGCCAGTCACCTGAACGACACACATGGCCAGTGTGTGAGTGCCCGCCTCCACCTGACGCTTCCAATAGCCCTTCAGGTCTCTTCCAGGCTCTGCTCGGGACACAGCCACATGCTGTAAACAGACAGTGACATGTCCTGCATGTCGAAGAAGCCATTCATGCATACAACTGACGGCTAGAGATTGGGGTGCGCCCACCAACTTTGCACTGCCTTCCTTCTGCACTATCCAGGCCTGCTGGAGGGGTGAAGTTGTGTTCTGGGGGGGGGATGGAATAAATGGAACTGTTGTGAAAAAGTCATTTTCTCCCACACCTCATTTAGCCCAACCTAACCATATGTACATCAGTACTGACTGCTTGAGGCATATTCGAGAACAGTGGTCGGCCACATCTCGAGTTGCGAATAATCCCGTGAAAAGCGCCATCTGCCCAAAATGGGGCGTCGTTGACGATCTCGACCTCAAAGTTGGGTCATCATAACAAAGTGGTATTGGCTTCACTTTCAAACACACATGCTTGACTTTCACCATCTGGCCCGGAAAATTAAAGCCTAGCCTACAATGGCATGCCTCTCATGTGGCCCAGTGGCATTTCTGCCCTGTTGTCTGGAAACAGCCTCTTTGTCTCTAAGCTCATGTGTCCTGGGTTCGAGTCCAGTCGGTTGAGATGCTGGGCGCCTGGCGAGGACGAAGTTGCTGTTGTGAAAACAGAATAATTCTTAACAGTGGTTTGACATACTTTTTCAACTTGGTCCCGTTGTCAGGGCGATCAAGTTGGACGAATCTTGTCGTAAGTCCTTTGCTATAGTAATCATGGTTATTCTCAGCATCGGACCGTGGACTTGGTCAAAACCCAGACATCTCTTTGGCATCGCAGTCAGCATCTTTAGCGAGTATCGCACCAGAGAGATGCATGA